GAGCTCTCCCTTCAAACAAATTTTCAACAACGGTGAAGCTCCTTTCGGAGGTATTTCTGCTGTTATCGTGGGCACAGATGGATATTTCACTCCACTCCAGAATCATATAATCTTTAGAGCTTTAGTTGGGTCTATTCTATGTGGGTGCCTCAAGGTCTTTGAACTTAAGAAGACCAATCCTTTGCTGTAGCCTTGAACAATAATAACAAATATAACTCTGCCTAATATTTTCGATAGCCGTCAAGTGCCTGATGATGTAATTCATCTCTTTACTAGTAATGCCGAAATCGATACCTATGGCAGCAAAATTATACTCAATTGTTACTGACCAATTTATATTTCATGATCTTATTTCTTGTAGCTTACGTAAATTTGCAGAAAAATTTGAGAGCTTATTGGAACAGTATACTTTTTTGAATAAGAAATTCCTATAAATTCGTATTATTTACTAGATTTGAAATCGCCAGGCAGACATATCGATTTGTCATTTTCAAATATTTTTGATTGCAGGCCCATTACAAAAATGTTCATTACTGTATACAGTTATCATAAAGGTTAAAGAATTTTAGAATAAAAGAGTAACCACGCAAGGGTGTTATTACTAATCTGGTGTGGGTAGAGGGTATATCACTGTCGGACTCTCTCGACTATACCTATCTTGTTTATTTAAGAATTAATACATTTTTAAAATATGAAACTCAATTAATAACACATAGTACATACAAGTCGAGCAATACGCGACTCTAGCAATATACTAGTTTTATATTTGCAAAGTCGACAGTTTTTGTCTGTTTTCATAGATAATGCTGATTGCTCTTGAAATCAATGAACTTATTCATGAAGGTGTGTGTGCGCGTGTGTCGGATCATGCGCTGTCCAATCTAAGCAAATGCTATAGTCTTTGGTCTTCTATATAAAAAATCACCTAAGTCCATAGATAGATTTCGCGCAAGCCGTCGTATCCCATATACCATATAACATATATATGTATACACGACTACAAAAACAAATTTGAAAAGAATTACGCGTACATACACATACAAGTAGGAGCAACAAAGAGAGCACTGTGCCGTTGAGGGCAAATATTTTATTATAATTAGATGATTGCCCTCGCGGTCGTAGACATTGTTGTTGTTTTTGGCGGACGCATTATTATAGATGCTAGTCTAGGGGCCGCAAAAGTGACACTTGTTGTTGCTACTATAGTTGTGTTTTTCTCCTCAGATTGCATTATTGGTCACACGCTCGACGTTGCCCAGCCGGCATACCAAGTGAAAAAATCTGCTGTCATTTAAATATAAAAATGACACGAAAAAACATTAAGATTATAAATAAATGGACATTTGTAAATATTTAAAGAGTTTGTTAGTTTTTAAATACTTTTTAAACTATTTGCATTAATGTTGATATTTTAGTGTCTAAATGGTGCTATTTTTATGCGGATATATTTTGACTATTTGGACTTTCAAGCAAAGGAAGCAAGCACTGTCGCATAAAAATGAATTTATAAAATTGCGCCAGTATAAAAATTGGAGCATAGCCATAGTAATATTATACTCTGTACATAAAATGTACAAGAGTATATTAGGTTTGCGGGAGCTGAAAATGTAACAGGCAGAATGAGGCGTGGCAGACCCCATAAAGTATATATATTCTTGATCAGCATGACGAGACGAGTCGATCTAGCCCTGTCTGTCTGTCCGTCTGTCCGTATGAACACCTGGATCTCAGAGACTATAAGAGGTAGAGACACCAAACTTTGCACAAAGATGCGTTATATATGTACGCTGTGCAAGTTTGTTTTATTTTTTTGATTTCCCCCCTATAGGGGTTTTCCCGATTTTCCATTCGTATAATTGCCTATATCTCGGAGACTATAAGACCTACGGACACCAAATTTTAGTCCCAGATGCCTTATGTGAATACGCAGAAAATTTGTATTTTGGAATTTCCCTCCCTCCCCCCTCTCCCATGCAAATCGCGATTTTCTCTAACTCCCGCAATTCTTGGAATTTCGAACGCAAATTGCAAATACCCCCAGTTAGTAATTATGTATCCGTATGCCAAGTTTCATTATGATAGACCGATGTAACAAGAATTTATAGCCATAAATAAATTTGCTGCTGCAGCGCTGCTCAAGCGCTGCCCGCGGCTGTTGTTGATGTTGCTGTTTGGTTGACTGCTAACATGTTTACTCAGACACGAATATACGAGCATATACATACATACACTCACACAGACGCAATTGCTTTGTATATGTGCAATTATACACCCTTTACGTGAGTTCGAATACTAAAAGAGGTAAAATCGATCAAATTTTTTTTTAATTCTCTTAATTTTTTTTAATTTCTGTATTTATTCTAAACATATGTTCAGAGTATTTCAAAGTCGGGTCACCCGACTTTAGCTTTTTTACTTGTTTTCTATTAAATTATTTTAGCTATGTTACTTTCCGAGATCCTTCCGTTCATGCGGAATCGTCTTGTCATACTGATCAAGAATATACATTATGCCACTTCTGCTTCTGTGTTTTAAAGTCTGACCAGCGTAATACTTGTATGTATATGCTTTCACCCTTCGGGTGTAGGGTGCATAAAATCCTTTTCCTTCAACACATACAAGTACTATATTTGTGTTGATCGTACTACTATTAACATTTGAAATGAAAACCAAAATTTTTCTCTGCTGCAATTAATGACGTTTGTGGTTGGCTCATATTATATTTTTAGTATAACAACTTAAATGGTGGAAAAATGTAGCCAAAAAGAAAGGCATATAAACAATTATGAGATACTCATGACGCTGTGTGGAAGACGACTGATGTGTGTTCGCGTAGGTGGGAGGGTGGAGAGTGGAAAGGGTGGGTAAAAAGATGTGGGAATGCTCGCTAATTGCTAAACTGCTAAAATTTCCTCAAATGCAAAATTAAACTGCAAGGCGTATATATTTTAAGATTTCTTAAATAAAGTGGCGTTTATTTATAAAATTTTACAATATTCTCTGCCGTCAACATGGGACATGAAATCACTTGGTTTTGCTTGCAATTTGTTTAATTGTTCGACCCTGAATTCAATTTTTGCGACGCTCGATACAACAAAGAGATTACGACGACCATATACTTAAATATATATAAATGAATATGTATATACTGTAAAGGCATTGTGAATTACTTGCGAAAGGCTTTGTTGTGGGCTGTATCAAGTTAGTTGGACGTTGTCGTCGTCATCGTGGTGGCCATAACCATGCTGGAAATGTACGAGAATATAAATCAATAAAAGACACGTTTGTTTTATAGAGAGCTGCTCAGGCCAAGTTGTTTGTAAATATATGTGTATTTGTATAACACAATATGTATAATGTAATTAACATTTGTGCAAGCAAAAGCAAAATATAAAGTTCCATTTATTATATCCCGGAAGGGTGGCAGCTTCTCTTTGCCTTTTTATCTTATCGTTGCAATTCGTGGCGTTTGCTTAAGATATATATCTTAGAATAGCCAGGTGCTGTTAACGAGGCTAGTCCAAAATATACCCGCCCTACTGTTTGAAACATTAAAAATATTAAGTTTGACCAATGACTCAATACATTTCCTTTTACAAGTATATGTTTGGCAACCCGTAATTGTAAGTACATATGTGAATTTTAAAGCATGAAGAAAACTACTCTTCGCTAAGTAACCCAATGCTCTGCAATATGAAAGCCTGCGTTTTTTTGGGACTACACTCGTAAGCGAACTTATGAACTGTCATTGCAGCCTTGCCATACTCATGCTCCACAATCGTTGCAAAAGTCAATTTTAAAACCCTTACCATTTTGGATTCCAAGTAAATTCTTTGAAACCGACATTGGAACGGGCCTTTAACAGACTTTATGTGATTCTCAAAACCATAGAAAATTCCGTTTTCAATTTACATCTTCATACCAATGTAAAGCAATTTCTAATACATAAATAAAATAATAGTTTAAGCGGATAATCCGATGTAGAACTCTCAGGATTGATAAGCTCTCCATTTTTGTTGGAGAGCGGGAACCGAAAATTGTTTGCTATGGAATGTGGAATCCTGGTGTTGTCGAAAAATAAACCTTACGTATCTACGTGCCCGCTACTGTACATTTAACCATGGGCCATGCCGATGCCCACCCATACAGTCACGCCCATAAAGCACGCGTCCATTTTTATCAACAAAAATCGCAGCACCACATAATTAAAAAAAGTAAAGGGGCCGATAGCGAGGGCGGGGCAGAGTGGGATTCTTTTGGCGGCATAGGACAAGTGAATATTGTGGCAAACCTTTTTCAAGCTAGAAAAAATGTCTATACCACTGACATTGAATTTTGCAGCAAGACCTATTATTCTATATTCTATTCTATATAGTACACATAATATAATATAATATAATATCAACAAATGGCATGTCTCCTGTAATCGCTTATACAGACATACAAATATACCTCCATATGTATGTGTGTGTGCAAAAATAGCGTCGCATATTGCTCACCTTTTCGTCTGTGGCAAATTTGATAAGAATACGCTTATTATTATAATATTTTCAAGATTCTTCTTTTCAATTTATTGTTCTTAAAATGGGAAAATTATTGGCATATTTTAATATTTTGAACATTTTTGTTACGCTGATTCGCTTTAATTATTCAATTAAAACTAAAAAGAAATTGTTTCGTGTCAGATTGACGCCCACTATTCCGTTCGGGCTTTTCTGTTTTCCAAGGTGAAAGGGTATTATGAATTCGCTTAGGTATTGTTTTATTATATTAATTTATTTCTTGGATAATTTTGGGCCTGCGCTATCTGTTGCTGCGCTTTGTTAGCTTTATAATTCCGTTTTAAATGTTTATTTTTGTTTACAATTTCATCATATTCTGCTGTTGGCTTACTTATAATGCATAGTGTAATTTTACGGCGTTGTGTATTAAGCCGTCTGATGTAATTAGTTTGTCTGCTTTGTCAACTAATTTGTGACTTTCTCTTTTTCTTTTTGCAGGTGATAATAAGGTAAATGGCGCAAAGACGTACGACTGTAAACCATGCTTGTGAGTGTGTTGCATAAAAACAACCGTTATAGTACAATAAATAGAGCATATTATAATAAATTTCCTACTGCTATATAAGATAGTATCGCAAAAAAGTTAATGTAGAATGCTTGGGTAATTTGTTGTTTCAAGAAAAGTACCTTGAATGGAGGTCTATATGGTTGATTTTCAAAGTTCTTTTGTTTAATTAAATATGTCTTGCAAATAAAAAGTTCGTTTTCCTGTTGAATAACATTGAAGAAATTTGTCTTAACTAAGGATCCCTATGATCCCCGACCCCTTCTTTAATTTTGGTTGGTCTTGTTCTGTCAGTTTCCTCTAAAGGTTGTGACTCCTATCTCTTGTACCATGAACAGCATCATATTTTAAATTCAATTCGGTGTTTGGAACCGCCCTAGTCTACATATGCTGTAATTATAGTTGTCTTAAAGGCCAGGTATTATGACATTCATAAGTGAGACAGGCCCTGTGTAGGCCCCAAACAAGACAAAACGTATTCTGAATGATGTTGCCCCGACCGTTGCAACGCCCCTATTTCGGCTGCATGTCGATTGTTCTAAAGTGCTGACGTTCGTTGAGTACACACTACAGAAAATAAATACCAAAAATAGAAGCTTTGCTTTAGTGCTGTGCGTCTATTTTTATGCCCACACCCACCTACTTGTACTAACATACGGTAGTGTTGCTGCATAACTTTGGTTATGTCGCATCCCATTGCGTGTTTATGGAACATTAAAATAGACGTATGTACATACATACATATATACACATGGCGCTAATTTCTGTTAGATTGTTGTTGTTTAATATAGCGCCGGGGTGGGAACCACTTTAACGGTGTCAGTGTGTGTATGAGAGCTTTTTGTTTGCCGCTTTTTCTTCCCTTTTCCTGTCTCTTTAATTGAAATTAGTCAGGCCTTGTACGTCAATTTTGTGTTCTGTGCGCCCCTATTTGCCCATCGATATTGGCACACAAATTGAATCTTTTTTGCAAACTTCCAATCAATCAGTAATAAATGCATAAAAGCTCAACCTGACAATAATACGAATGCGAGACAAGAAAACAACCGCTGACGACAATAGAAGTCCCCCTGAAGGTTGGGCGGTACAGGTGCCCACAATGTTGATTTGGTGTATTGCACTGATAAGCATTTCTCTGCAGCACTTGAGAGTATTTAAATTTGTTGATATTTATTGGAACTTGGAAAATGTATTTATTTTCGCACAACTCCAACAATCTACGAATTACGCAACCGTCTCTGTTAATAACCATCGCACTCTGTCGCACAGTTTAATAATTTCATCTACTTTTTTGTATAAACTGAGCAGCACAAATCGCAATATTTTTAATTCTTTCTATTGTTGCATTTGCGCATATCTGACAGTTTCATGCCACGTTTCAATTTAATTTAAATTAATTTTTCTTTTAAATAATAAATGGGTTTTATCCTTTTTATTCATTTTTTCATTCAGCTACGTAATTGTTGTGTGTGTGTGGTTTGTCCCCAAAAAGAGCTACCAGCTGACCCAATTCCCACGAAATGGGTTGCTAACAAAAACCGGACGCCCTTTTTTGAGCGTTCAGCAGGGCTTCTAATTAGGTTGCCTTAAGTCTGTATGAATATATAATTTGCATATGTATGTGCTTATAAGTATATTATGTGCGTGTGGTTAAAGGACGAATAAAAAATGCATCTAAAATGTAACCAGACAACAGGGACGCACGTCCTGCTCATGTACTTTTCTCAACGGATGAAGCATGTGTCCTTGTTGTTTTACGTTATTATTGTGTTGGTGTTGGCACACCCTATACCCCACCGATCTGTCATAACTTTCACTGCTGCTGCAAACTTTTAATGCAACCCATAGGAGGGTAAACGGGAGCTGCAGAATCATATAAAACTTATTGTTTCATTTCCTTTCACTTTATGCAAATTTAACGGCGCAGTATTCTTGCGCCCGCACACGAAGAAACACATGCATATACGTATTTACGTACACACATACACACTCGCGCACATATGCAAATGCCATTGCACTATTGCATACACACTGCGAGATATTTGCATTTAAAAGCTACATACGCTCTTGCTCTTGTCATGTGCACAGTGGTGTATGTGTGTGTGTGATGAAGAGGGGATATGGGGAGTCGCTGCATATGCATGTGTACGTGTGTACAAATGCGTTGTTTGTGTGTGTTATGTGTGCAGCTAAGTTTATGGCTGACTGTTGATTTGATTGATTTAATGGTGAAGCTGATACCATATGCGGGTGATGGACAGAGAGAGGGAGGAGCCAGGAGAGTAAGGAAAGAACAGAACAAAGACCATTAAATGGTATAAGGTCAAGGTCAGTGCTATTACTGAATGATTTTATTATTTGATTCATTCAAATGTACAATATCATTTGATTGCATTAATATTTACTATTGCTTGAATAAAAAAAACTTATCCAAAGTCTTCAGAAAAATATGAAAATAAATATATTTTTTTAAAGGAAACTTACAAGCGTTTTTAAGAATTTATTAAAGCGTTTAAATACTCTATCGAGTCTGCACAAATATATTAAAAATACTACATTTTTTTTTAATATTACAACAATGTTAATGCCCAACATTTTTTGAAAATGTCATTGACCAATAAATAATGTACTTCTTAGGTATGGGTATATGAAAAATACTAAAAAACAGCCTATGATTGATATAGTGGCAGCACATCGCGTTTGGTCGAGGTATATGTGTCTACCTAGGTTTTTGTTGTAATCTTGGGTACCACTCAGTGTGACATACTGAAATACTGTTAATGTTCCACCATTTCTGCTTACACCATATGCCGGTGCTTTCGCCACTACATGGAATGCCGTCATTGGTGATGTGTTTTCATGTGTACTTATAAATCAATTTCACGCACAGAAGGCATTTTTATAAATCAAGATGCGGGGCATTACTTATAATCAGTCATGCTTATGTACATATATAGTAGTATGTATATACTGTAAGTATGTAGAAGTGGAACACAGATTGTAGCAAAATATGAAACTTAAGTTTCATGCACATACACACACACACACACACAATAAGAAGTACACGCATAAGCACACACGCTGCATTTGCCACGCAATTTTTTATTGTGGATAAAAAACGCAGTGAAGCAAACGAACGACTTAACAACAAACCAACCCACCAACCAACCAACCGACGAATGAATGTTTCTCTTCAAACTAATGCCTTTCCCTGCTCTCTGAAGCTTCGGACTAACACATCTTCTGGCCGCCTGCATTTGCCTTTCATCTGTTGTCTGTCCCGTTTCCCACACCTTGTTGCCCCGCTGTCGACAACGACCTAGACGACGCACAATGATTTGAATGCATTTTCACTTCTGCGAATTTTCACGTTTTTCTCGTTGCGCTCTCGTCGCACATTCGCATTTCCACAACATTTTCCATGCCATGCATCGCTGCCTGGTGCTGACAGAAGCAATATAGTCGCTGCGTCTGCTGTTGGAGACGGATGCCTTTCCAAGGCGTTTTTAAGTGTGTGACGAAGACGAAGACGCTTGAACAGCTTCTATAGTATACTAGACATGCATGTATGTGTATACACGCAAATAAGTAGGTACGTATAAGTCTTCAACAGTCCGCCCCTGAACTTTTGAGCACTTCCATGTCTGAGGGACGAGAAGGGCTTACTATGTGGCACCATAACGAGACGCGCACATCGTTCGCTGCGTAGTTTTTCACTTTCTTAAAGCTTTTATTGACCCTCTTCAGGCCCCTGTACCCTTTGCATACTTTTCAAGCACGTTGCGTTTGTAATGAACAAAATTGTGCGCATTTTTCTTTTCTTGGCTGCTGTTGCGTACATACAAGTAGTTCCCTATATACAAACATATGTACATATATTTTCATATGTATTTGTTAGTATTGGTTTGTTCTAATTTCATCAAAGCAAGCTGCTGTCCTTTATATTCCACATACGTATGTCTCCAGTATGCGCTGTCCAAGGTTTTCCCCATTACGTGTAAAAGAAGAAAAACTCCTACAAGGGGTGTTGGTTGGCCAATGGTGTAGGGGTGTTTGGTGGATTCCAAAGCTGTTATTACGCGTGTGAATTTCCTTCGAACATTTTTCGTAATTAGACGTGCCGAAAGCATGCTCCGAAAATGCCATAAAACACGGCATTCTTTTGAAAAGTATATACGGACTTGAAAAGATTTAATAAGCAATTTAATAATAAATTTCTATTGTCTAAACAACACACACTTACTTAACACATATTCAATTTGAATGCCCCTAAGAGGAGAGGGCTCTTACCTATATCGATATGTTTGTGTCGCTCACGAGATAAAAATATACAGATTAAATGTAAAAATGTTATATTTATATGTTAGAGATGTTCTCTTAGGATCAAAATTGAAATAAAATAAGTTGGCAAAATAAAAGAAACCTCGACGATAGACAGAACGCATTGTTCTGTGTCATTATAACAAACAAAAGACCGAAAACAAGACTGCGACAATAAATAGAGAAGGAATCTTATGCAGGAACCTTCCCGGGATCAAAACGATGGTCCACTAAATCTAGTTTGCTTCTTTACCTTCCCTCTTTGTACTGTTACTTTTCGTCATATAAAAATGTCTCAGAAACCAATATGGGTATGATGTGCGAAAGCACTAGCTTTATACTTATAATACATTCAGTTAAGTATTAAGACATTAGGTATACTTTAAGTTTTTAAACAAATCTCTTAGATTATTTTATTTTATTTTTCCACCCTTTCACGTAATCTTAAAAAAATGACGCAACAAAACAAATTATTAAATTCTTGCAACGCGGTCTCCACCGGAAAATGCCAATAAGAATGGATGTTAGCACCGGGCTGTCCCCCCTGACTTGCTTTCAAGCCGTAGATGGATAGGAAGGGGAAGAGAAAAGCGAAAGATAAGCAAAACAAGACACTTGAAATGCGAATGTGGACAATAAGTGTGGACTGAAAAGTCAAAACT